AGCCCAGCTGGATAGGTCAGAAAGTCACACAGAGGATTCATCCAGAATCTTAAAGGTACCCGAGAGAGAGGTATTCCGAGCACAGGAAGTGTAGGTGCACACAAAGGCAGGGGCAGGTGCCAGACCCTGTCCTTGGTGAAATGAAGTCTCCTGCAATGGTGGAAGAGTGGGGGAGGAGCATAGGACCAGGTGGCAGGGGGAGCTCTTCTGCCAGGACTTGAGGCTTTCTCCTGGAGGCAGTAGAGCCCCACTGAAGGATCTCAAGCAAGGAGGAGACATGATCAGATAGGCATTTTGGAAAGGTCTCTCCCCAGCAGATTGGACAGCATATTGCTGGGGGCTAAGTTCTGAGGTGGAACACCAGTTAGATTTCTGAAATCATCCAGATGAGAAAGGAAAAATGGGGTGTAGGGTAGAACATGCCTGAGGCCGAAAACTGACTCCATCAATTTCTAGCTGTGTGACCTTGAGGAAGTTTTGTCTCTAGCAGTTCCTGGCATATAGTGGGAGCTCAGCCACTTGCTGAAAGAATGAATGTCAAGGACCCTTTGAAACACGTGGCCAGACTGAAAACAGAACACCACACTGAACCCACCAAGATGCTCCTGACACTTAAGTTGTGAGCCAGGGAGATTTCATGACTCTCCAAATTGCAGGCATTACCTGCATATCACGACCAGTCATTTCCTCTTGCTCATCTCCCATTCACCCTTGGAATAGAGACCTAATGAGAAAGGGCATTTATTTCTAATTTTCTGAGGTCTTGAAGGTATGAGAGAGATCCTGGTTGAAAAGTAAGCCGCTGAGATGGAGAGGGCAAAGCTGGGGAGAAATTGACACGACAGTAGGAACCGGGCATTTAGAAGTGGGGGCAAGGTTTTTGAAGTCTCCAGACCTCATTCGCCTGTACCTGGTGTCCTCACTAACAAAAGTAACTATTTCGTGACTCGTAGAGTTTGAGAAGCAAAGAGCAGCCAAGAGGGGGAACTGTGCGCAGCTCTTCTAGGGCTACTGCATCTCTACGGTTCTACCCAACCCGCGGCGTCGAGGCACCGCCCACCGAGCCGGTCCGAGTCTTTCCCGCCCACTTTGGGCTGCTGAGCTGTGCGCGCCTGCAGCTCCCGAGAAGGCCGCCAGAGCGCACTGTTGGACAGCGTGCAGAGCCCGCTAGGACGCGAGAGTCGCTAGATCAGGGCAGCCGACTGGAGAACCCGGGACCAGGGGGAAGGACGGAGAGGGAGGACGTGGTTTGGAGGGTGGGAGACCCTCAAAGGTCCTGTCTCCCGCAAGAGCTTTGGTATAGTCTATCCAGGTTTCGAAATGCATTGGATTCAGCCTCTCCAGCTCGGTGTCTAGAACTCAGTGGAGGGGTACGTGCGAGCTCTGGCAGAGCACGCTCCACTACCCACCCAGGCCGTAGCGGGTTGAGATCCGCACCCTGCTGCTCGGTGGTATTGGCCTGAGGATCGGAGTCGTGGGGCCTAGAGAGCAGAGGCTACCCGTTTTCCCTCTCGCTCCCTCCTTCCTCGGCCTGCGGGGAGCTGAGCCCACCTCCTAGAGCTCTTCTTCTGCGACCTATGCCCGCATCCTCGGCCTTTCTCCTGCTAGCATCTTCACTTTACTACCGTCACTCACTCACGGGAGTTCAGTTCTGGGGAAGGGTTGGGCTGGTCCTGGACAAGTCAAGCAGATCAGAGACTTGAGTGACCTCAAGACATCCTGGGGTTGGGCATCGATGTTTGACCTAGACTCAGTGACCCGACAATCCCCAAAGGAGAGGGTCAAGCTCAGGGCGGGGTAAAGGGAAGCTTCATGCTGGGGGATGGGGAGGAATGGGAAACATTAATAGCAATCAATCTCTTCCTGGGCACTGACTGTGAATGCAACGTCTTCCTGAACCTCTCTGATCTTTCGTGGGCTCAAGCCCAACTTGGGGAGAAATTTCATTTCCCTACAGAGTTAGAGGGATGCTATCTGGGGTGCTGCAGGGCACAGCGCCTCAGGATCTTGCCAGACACCCACCTCAGAGCTGACTCCCCTGCAGGACTCACATGCTCTTTGTCTCCCTGAGTTCTGAGGAAAGATAGGGAAAGACAGGACGAGCCTCAACACCTTCAGTGGTACCCTGGGACCCTAGGAACCTGGAAGGTTCTGCCAGAGTATCTCTGGACCCTTTCCCTGTGAGCTGTGGAAATCTCTATACTAGGGTGACAGGCCTTCAAGGGTGACACTGGGGCAGAATGGGAGTAGGGCAGAGTACTGCTCCCTGATGACTTCCCCTTGAAACTGGACCCCCTCATTCCACTCCCTCAATTCAGGAGAGGCTTTGAGATATTGGAAACTGGGAATGTGAGGCCAGAGAAAAAAGAAGGGTGAAAAAAGAAGGTTGGAAGCCTGGAAAAAGAAGTGGAGGTGACTTCTGGGTGTGATTTTCCACTTTCATTCCTGAAGCAGTCCTTCAAAAGCTACCCATCAGAATCAAGCATCATGGCAAGCAACAGGGTCTGGGCAGGACCCCGGTTGAGGGCGGCACAAGCTGGGATTGAGTCTACAAGAATCATCCTAGGTTGAGTTGCGCCCACTCTCTCCAGACAAGGTAAGACCCAGATAAATCGCTGCGAGGACCTGCAGCCATCAGTGATTGCACTGCTGCATCCAAAACAGGCAGCTGAGGGCGGGAGCCGAGGAGACAGAGGGGGGCTGCCGGCGCCCGGGTGAAGCGAGCGCGTCAATGGGCCACAGGGGCCGGGGCGGCGGTCTAATGGATTCAGGCCTGCATGGCAGAGGCGCACCCGCCGGCCTGCCCGCGCTCTCAATAGCGGACAATGGAGTCCCGGGGTGACCTGAACAAAGAATTTGGAAGTAGTTAAACTGCAGAACACGTTCTGAGCCTGGGTGCCTCCTTTCAAAAGGAGCGCTGGAAGAAGAAAAGAAAGCACTGGGGGGTGAAGGGGGTGAGAAAATGCCCAGGGGAAAAGTTGGTAGGTCGCCCTAGTTGCCGCCAGCTACCAGACGCCAGGAATTCAATAGGAAATGGGGGAGGGGGAAAAGTGGCCTAGTCAGACAGACTGCAGGGAGAGGCAGAGAAAGTTCTCCACAGGATGGGTTCCAAAACAAGGCAGAGTCTTTGCTCTTGGGCAGCACCCTCACACACACACACACACACACACACACACACAGAGTCAAGCACCCTAGCTGGTCTGACCAGGAAGACCAGGAGAAGCCTCTTTTGGACTTTGAATGCTAGAACAGGAACCAGTAGGTAGAGGGTGAGAGTGTGTCTGGGCCCTGCCCTGGTTCTCCACCAGATATTCTGAATACAGTATCTCTCTGGGTTCCTGTGTCTAGCCCTCCATAGCACTAGGTCCCTCTTTGGCCCCTCTAGCAGGCTCTGGACAGATCTCCTTGTCTTAACCTTTTCTCAGAGCTTGTATTTGTTTTTCTTTCCTCATCAGTTGAGAAAGTCTGGATTTAACATATTCCCCCCTCCCTCCCTGCATACTGCACCAAACAGTCACCTGGGGGGTGTGTGTTTGTTTGTTTCTGTGGAGCTGGGGATTAAACCCAGGGACTTACAAGCACTCTCCTCCTGAGCTATATCCCCAGCTCCAATCTAGAGTCTTCTAATAAAAATGTTCTTTCCCCCCACTTTAAGTTTAGGCCTCTAGCTATAGAAATTAAAGCAAATTATTATTTTTTTCTGCATTTGTCTGAACTTTCTAGTTTTTCCACAATGAGGACAGTCATAAAATGGGAAAAAAGAGAAGACATTTAGAAAAGCAGTCAATTATACTAGTATAAAACTAACTTAGAAGAGGAAGAACTGGAGAGATTGTGGAGACCAAAAGTAAATACAATGACAGAATAAATGGTTAGGACAGAAACCTGGAAGAGGAAGGAATCCTTGGCTGACACCGGTGGCTTCTGGGAGGCAGTGGTTGAAATCCGAGAGAGCGCTCCGCGGCCAAGCGGCTCCATCCTTTGGTAGACGCTTGGTTTGTAAGGGGTTAACAGCGTTGCTCATGAACTTGGACTGTCTGGCTGGCCCCTGATGGATGATGAGAGCAGCTGACAAGTTCAGCCAGAGGGACCTTCCCTGCTGTGGTGGTGGCAGAGAGGACCCCAGACAAGTGGTTTGGGGTAGGAGGATGGCTGTTCTGTCTGCCCTCTCGGTTTCTGCCTCCCCTTGACCTCTTGTCCCCTTTTCTGGAGCTTCCCGATATCATATTGGAGCACCAAAGTTTCCACGGGTTCTGCACTGTACGTCCCAGAATCCTCCAGAACCCCTGGCCCGCCCTTGCAGACAATGCAGAGCGGTGGGTACCCGGACGTCTGGATCCCGCCCTGGGGAGGCCGAGTTCAGCATTTGGACAGCGGCTCCGGGGCGTTCGCAGACCAGTGAGTTTGCAGGTGCACGCCCTGGTTGGGGTGGGGGTGGGAGGACAGCCCCGGGGCTTGGAGAAGCAGGACCCAGGCTGGAAAGCAATCCCAGCTCCGAACAAGACACATTTCCGCGATTTGAAAGATCCCTTCTGAATTGACATGGGGACCCCAGGACCGTCCAACCTATCATGGATAAAGACACCGTGAGAAAAGATGAAACGCCCCCTTTCCGCCTAGAACATAGACACCCCTCATCCCCTCAGCTCTCCATTCTTCCCAAAGCAGCCGGGATCCCTGAGCCTGGATCTGCCAGCAAGGCTTCCAACGCACTACTCGCCACCACCTCCCAGGTCGTTGGTGGCTATGGGTGAGCCCGGTGGTGCCCGGCGTGGGCAGCGGGGAGGGTTGAACAGCTCCGTCTCCCCTAGAAAGGCTAGGAGGCAAGCGGAGAGGCGGGAGGACTGGCCGGGGCGCAGGGCTGGGCACCCTCACAGCCCGCCTCGGCCCGCTCCATTCGGCGCCGATCGGGGTGAAGGGAGGGGGGCGGGGGGAGCCGCGCTGACGTCACTGCGGGCCGTGCCCGCCCGAGAAGGCGGTGCTGGGAGCCGCTCAGAGCCCGGAGAAGCGGCGCGCGGCCAGGAGCCCCCGAGCCAGCGCTTGGTGCCTGCCTCCCGCAGCTCTCTGCCATGTGCCTACCGGGGCAGGGGCGCTTGGAAGGCGACCAGAACTGGGCCTGAGCCTGGGGACTCGCCTGATCAGGGGAGACAGAGCCGCCGTCGCCGCAGCCGCCCCACCCCCGCCGTCGCCTCGTGGGGCCCTGGCCCCTTTCCGGGTCCGTAAGTGCCACTGCCCGCTGTGTCTCGGCAAGGCTGGGTAGAGAGGGCTAGGGCGCCAGGGCGGTGGCCTCAGGTAGGGAAGCCCAGGGAGCTGGGCTGGACTGGGAGAGGGGGCTGGGGCATCCCTGCCTGGTCCCCTTGGGTCACTCGCAGCTCCGGGCTTCCCTTTGCTGTCGGGCGGGATAAGGGGTTCGCTCTGACTATGCGTAGGAGGCAGGGATCTGTCATCTTTCAAAAGCCATCAAGATCAAGGTCAAGGGTCCTGGGACAGTGGGAAGCTCCCAGAGATGAGGACTTTGGGTGCGAAGAAAGGGGAAGGGCATGGGATACGATGGAAGTGGTGGGACTGCAGACCGGTTTGGGAGAAGAGAGAATGCTTCTGAAGTGAAGTCCCAAGGAGTCCTCCCTCGCTTCCCCTCTGATTCCCCTCTTCCTTCTCATCTCTTTCCCTCCCCACAAAAAAATAACCTAGAAAGTGGCTTCCTGAAAAAAATATATTTTGAGAAAAATGCAACACCGGCACCCAGTCTAGACAAGATTTATGACGTGTTTTTGCCCCTCTGAAATGGGACGTTGTTGGGGAATCCTTTCTGTTCTGCTCCCCACTCTGTGCTTCAGAACAGGCCTTTTGGAATCTGTTCGTGGGCGGCTCTTCAGCCTCCTCCGGCTTAGCCCGTTTTGAGCTGGGGAAGAATGAGGGTGCCAGAGAGGTTGAGACTGTGGTGAGGGGCTTCTCTGGGAAAGGACTGGAACACAGTCCATGCTGACCCAAGCAGAACAGGGATGAAGCAGAAGCTGAGAGATGCTCTGAGGTCAGATCATAGGAGGAGTGCATGAATCCAGAAATGCACACTTCGAACCTTTGTGGCAAGGGAGAAATCCAGGTGCTGGTCTTGAAGGAGAGATGGCTTTTGAGCCCCCATATGCTGGAGAAGGTTAATTCTTAGACATGGAATAAAGAAGGATGGAGTTAAAGGGTCTGGCTTTCAACAAGGACAGAGGCCACAGGGTGGGTAGATTACTTGGGCACTGAGATGGAGGGTGTCATGCAGGGTCTGCCTCTGGAGCCTCCCTTTGAAATAGTGGTTGCTGGAGATCTCAGGGGAGGGGTGGCTGCTATGCCCAGGCCTTTTTAGAAGAGATGTTTCCAAGTTCCTTTTCAGCCTAGGGATTCCCAGAGCCCCAACCCCAGCTGTCTATACCTCAGCAGCTGAGGAGGTCACTACAGCCCAGCTGGCCACCTGTACATGAGGGTGGGTATGGAAGCCCTAGGACCCTTGGGTGCCAGGCTCCATCTGAGCTGGCTCAACCCTGGGTCTCTCAACTAGAAGACTTTCCAGCCTCCAAACAATAGGAAAATCAGTTGAATCAAAGTTTGGACCTGATAAAGGAGCAACTGAGAGAGGGAGGAAGGGAGAAAGGGCACTTTGAACTTAACTTGGGTTGTAGCTGGAGATACTCTTTCCTTATTAAAATCCAGAAGGGCTCAGGAAAGGAGCATTAGTTCCAGGCTAAATGGCAGGCCAAATGATTGCTTCTGTTTATTTCCATGGCTTCAGATTCCCAGCCTCTGGATCTAGTCAGGTCTGGTTGCTGGACAAAGTGTCTGTACAGGGTTGTTGGTGAGGATCTGAAGTGCTCCTTCTCCTTTCGCTTAATCATTTAACTTTCTGTGTTCTGAAATGCTTCCATTTCAGAACTCCTGTAAGTTGTCAGGGCCCTTGTGCTGAGCTGTGTAACTATGGATACGAACCAGGAATTTGGGCCAAAACCAGCACAGAGTTCAAGCAGCCAGCACTCGCCAATGGGTACAGCAGCATTTGTACACACATGTGCATGCTCAGGCAAAGTACCAGTCACTTACCTTAGGCTGGCTGCTAGAGAGGTATATGGGCCAAGTGTGGTAGGAGTGTTGTACAGGTTTTCTGAGTCAAAGGGTTACAGGGCACACATGTGGTTGCTGCAGGATTGGGCATTTCTGTAGATACAGACATTGGGGCTCAAGACCAAGGAACTGTCTGTCCCTCAGTGGAGGGAAAATATGAAAAATGAAAAAATGGAGTCTCTGGCCTTTGGTGAAGATATCTTGTTACCAAGGCTCCCTTTCTTGCTGGCTATTTGCTTTTTCTGGTAGCTGCATGTGCTCCTGAAACTCAGGTCGGGATGTCACTGAGCAGACAGAGGAAGTTCAGGGCAAAAGAAAGAGGCCCCGTGGGTGGCTCTCAGCACCAGTGCTCTGGCCTGGCTAGCTAGTGGCCACCCAGGCTCAATGCATGCTCTTCCTGGACTTAGGTATTATGCTGGGGCTATAGTCCGAGGCCAGGGGCTTGGCATGGGGAGAAGTACATGGAACCCAGACCCATCCTGAAGTGCAGTTGAAAGGGAGACCAGGGCCAATGTTGGTTGGCTTCTACCCACTTGGGCTTGGAATTGGCCTGCCCAGCTGCCTGCTGTCTTCAGCTTGCAATGCCAACCCAACACAATGTGCTTCTGCCCAGTATCCACCTGGATGGCTTCCCAGGCCCCTGTTAAGCTGTGCATGGATGCTGGCTGCTAGCCGCCAGCCCATGGAAAGTACACCTGCCCTGAACCACCAGAACAGCCTTTTCTGTAGCCTATGACCTCGAGGCCTGGTCTCACTCTGGCCTCCTTCCTGAGAATAGGGCTAAGATACCTGGGTACTGGAAGGTGGAGGTAGAGGGGGTCACTGATTCCAGGACAGGTTCCACTTAAACAGAGTGTGGGAGCTAGCTGGCCTCCTTCACTCCCCATCAAGAGACTTGGTTTCCCAAAAAAGCCGCTGAGATGTGGCTCTAAGGACAGTGGCCTCCCACATCTAAACTGAATCCAAATTGAGCTTTTAATCTTTCTCCCAGAGCCCTAACCAGCCCTAGGCTTGCAGGCCGGGCCTCGGCGCCCGCTGTTACTGTGAGCCTCGCTGAGGAGCCATTTTGTGCAGCATCTTACTTAAATCACATTCCAAGGGGGCTCGTTCCTCTTTTCTCTTTCCCTCCAACTCCCCCTCCTTTCCCTCTCTCTCAGGTGAACTGAGCTTCACCACCCCTTCCCACCTCTGCAGCCCCACCCCAGGGTGGCCTAGAAGGACTAGGGCTCAGAAGGCCGCCCACACGTGTGTGAGCCGCGGGCGCGCGCGTGTGCGCGCGGGTGCGCACACACACACACACACACATCTAGAAAGGAAGAGGGTGTGGATTCCTAGAGCTGCAGGAGGAGGGGAATCAAGGGGCATCTCCCAATTATGGAAATCCTTTGATATTAACTATCTCAGGCCCAAATTCAGGAGGTTTTCTTCCTGAGCAGGGCATTTGGTTGGCCTCTCTGTTTCTCTATTGCTTCAGCTCTGTCTGGCCCTGGCTCGACTTCTGGAGAAAAGGATGTGTCTGCGAAATGGGATTTGGAGGAAAGCATGTAAATGCTAGGCTGGGTTGGTTACAAGTTGGCTGGGATAGGAGCAGGATGCAGCCTGCCCTGGATTTAGGGTCAGGACGAAAATAGAACAAATCTGAAACAAGCGATGAAGAAAGAGGTGTTTGACAAAATCTGGAACTTGACAAAATCCAGATGTGTCATTTTTTAAGAGAGAATACAGAAGAAAAGGGATGTTTAGAAAAATCATGAAATCCTTTCCAAACCACCCACTTTCAGCCTCTTCAAACCCATCATGCAAGGATTTGCCTGGCTGAAGAGTGGTCCAGCGTCCCATGTCCCATTAAAATAGATTCATATGGGCACCATAATCCAAGCCTGCTGTGCTCCTGGGGATACTGCTGCAGCAGGAGTCTCTGGGCTTCCCTGTATTAGTTGCTGGAATCCAGGAATCCAGTTTATTCCACTGCTGAATATCTATCTCCCTAGCTCTTGGCCTTCAGATTTTCTGGGGTCATTTGAGAGCACAGGTGTTACATTTTTCACATTTAATATTTTGCTCTTGGGAATGGCTGGCAGGTGGATGTGAATCTGCAAGCCCAATGTGGAGGATAGCCACAGCAGCAGGGAGGAAGGGAGTGGTGGATGGGGTGAACAAGAAGGGTCACTCCTAGGCCACTTACATCTGAAAGACTGCTATGGGGCTACCAGTTCTATTTCTAGTTTCAGTTCTGAGGTGGTTCTGGGAGATCCAAGGTGACACTCCTTTTGCTCTGTTGCTACACCTGTAGTGAGTGGGCCAGATGTGTGCTGAGAGCCAGAGAAGGATGGCAGAGGCATGCTTTATGTTTTTATTTTTCGTGGAATATGAATTTAATCAGGAGCTAGGACATTGTCCAAGCGTGGTGCATATTCTGCACTACACACTTAGCCATACCTACTAATAGCGAGATTGGAGGGACTCAGCAGTTTGGTACTGAGGGCCAGGACGAGGTCCGTGTGTAGCATGGCTCAAGGATTTTTGCGAGCCAGGTGCTATGGTGGGACACTGACCCCAAGACACCAGGACATTTAATCTCTCCTCTATCTCAGTATCCATCGTGTGAGCTGGATCTACTGCTAAGTGTTGGGCAGGGGGGAGCGTAATAGATAAGTTAAAGGTGAAATGGCTCCGGCGAGAGGCGGGGGCCTCCCTCCCCAAAGCGCGCACTTCGTTGCCCTGGAAAGACCTTCACTACGCCCCACGAGGAGCATTCCTAAATCTCTTCATCCAAGCACACTTGGCTCCCTAATTTTGATGCCCTGTGTTGGTTGCCAGTTTCCTCAAGCTTTGGAAGAAGGCAGAAATGCTTGGAAGAAAGGCCAGATAGTGCGCACCCAGGAGCTCAGCCCTAAAGCTTCTGAGAGCAGAGCGGGTGCTCCCTTAGCCTCGGGGCGCGGAAGCCGTGAACGCCGAGGCCATTGTAAGGCAGGGTGGTGCCAAGCGCGGGAAGGGGGCTGGGATTTGAATGGGAGCCTGTGATTGGCCGATCCCTGGACTGACGTCACTTCCCCGCGGGGCGATTAGCCTGCGAGAGGAGGGCTGGCAGTCCAGTGCGCTGGGGGCGGT